TGGTTCACTACTGTAGCTTCTTGATGATGGTGCACCACCTACAAAAGAATTGTATTTAAGATAATTTGCATCACTAGTTAGTTCAAGTTCGTCAAATAAGGTTACCATCACATAAAATTAATAGTATCACAAATTTATTGCAGGTATTTAAAACAATGGAACATGCATGATATCCCACCAGGAGGTTGACTCACCAGCCTCTTGAGATGTACTTGTGGGGTCATCATGCTTCCTGACAACTGATGGTTTGTCACCTGCAAAAGTAATAATTTTTTATTAAATGTTATAGTTACCCCTTTCACACATTCCTGTAAGACCCAAGTGTCACAAGGATGATCGGTGTAATCGTAGGTCACATTCAACATCTATTTTTTCCCATTAATAAATAACAAACTTTGACAAAACTGTCGGAAAAATGCCCCAAGACTTTCATTATCATATCAGCATTGGAATTTCCGTCAATAACCAACAAATATCAAAGTATTTAACAAAAATCCAAAAAGTAGACGAAATTTCAGTCGGAAAAGTCCCGAGAGCACTTATATGATACACTTTTATTTTGCTTGTTTTTGCTAATTTTACACCATCATTTAAGCACGTCAAGCACTTACAATGATGAACTAAGGTTTAAAGTTCAATAAAATAAGCATGTTAAACTTCTACACAAACTGTACGAAGAAAAAAAGGAATATTTACCAGAGCTTGTGGATCTCAGTTTCCGCGGCATATTTGTTGTCCTCTTGCCAGCTGTTGGCTTCTGAGAGGTTTCTAAACCAATCAGAAAGCAAGACGCAATCATTGACGTCACTATGACGAGCGGCAAAGTCCTCTTCCTCGCGCGTAAAGTTCAAAAATCGCTTGAGAAGTTGCGTAATCAGGATGGCTACCGGTCTCAATATATATATATATATATATATATATATATATATATATATATATACATTACATATATGAATATATATTCATATATATACATATATACACTTAATATATATAAAAATATATATATATGTATGTATGTATATAAAAATACATATATGCAAACATATATATACATATATATATATATATAGATAGATAGATAGATAGATAGATAGATAGATAGATAGATAGATAGATAGATAGATAGATATAGATATAGATATAACGAACTTCACGACCAGCGGAAGTTAATTCTTCAACTTAACTGCTATCTTCAATCAACAGAAACAAGAATTCTTCACAAATCATACGTTTCGAGTGTTCAACACCCATCTTCAGTGATGCCAAAAATTAACTGTAAAGGATTCAAGAAACATTATCCAAAAGTTTTCAAAAAAACATATTTACAATAAATTTGTTAAAATACATATATATACATACATATATACACATATACATATATACACATACACACATATGTGTATATAGATACATATATAAATATATATGTGTGCATATATATATACACATCTATGTACATTTCTCTATGTATATATATATACATGTGTGCGCGCAAGTGTGTATGTGTGTGTGTGTGTGTGTGTGCTAAACATTCTGACACAAGTAACAATACTTTTTAAAATATAATTGTTAAAGATTTTCCAATTCATTTAGGAAATATGTTGCTTGTCTGAATATTGCAAGACATATTCCATTCATTACGGGAATAAAATCATAGTCTCACAGTGAATCCATATGAATTCCAGAACAACTATTCGATATATGAAACAGAATGAGACAAATTCGAAATCCAAAATACCAACCCTTCTGTAACAAAAAATTCTGTTCTTTATTAAATGTTTCGACACCCCTCCTGACGATACCTTACCGTGTAGCTCTACATATGTAACTGTGTGTTTGTTTGATTTAGATAAAAGGCACAGAGAAAAAGAGAAAAGAAAGCCAAACATATAGTAACATAGAACCGGCAACACAAACACACAAACAGCGACAGAGAACTTGGGATCAGAACCGAATAAGGGATTGGAGTCGAAAAAAGGATCGGAACTGTTAGCGTCTCTGTTAGCTCTCGTGAAGGAAGGAGATGGAAATGGGCGATAATTACAGATGCTGAGCGATGGCGTAAACTTGACTTTAGGTTCATTTTTAAGTGTGAATTTTGTAAATATTCCAAATTAACTTTCTCTCAAAAGTCTAGACGTTATTGACAGATTTCTTCATGAGTGGAATTTGGTATGTGTGCGCGCGCGTTCGTGTGGATGCGAGTGTGTGTGTGCTTGTGTGTTCGTGCCTTTGGGTGTGTCATTTCATCTCCGGCAGGAGTCTTTATCAAACTAATCAAATATTCATCCATTTCGGTACTCATCTCTGCTGTTTACACATCTCATGTAGAGTAAAAGTGCAATATAACAACCAAGTCTAAAGTTAATGATACACCGGTACCGTTGTAATTTCAATTGAAAGCGAAATTAAGCGTTGCAATTTATGAAGCGTCTTATTTTCTTTCTTTCTTCGCTGATTTACATCTTCTGTAATCATGTTCAACCAGATAGGCAAATACACTCACACGTAAGAAGTTCACATAAGGACATTTTAAAATAAGGAAATACCGTGAAAATACAACGACTGTCATATTCCCAGAAACCTAAAAAAAAAAAAAAAAAAAAAAAAAAAAAAAAAAAAATTCATTCATTCTTACATAGAGGACGCAGTCACAGGTTACGATATAGAACACTTGGGGATCGACGAACACGATCGAGTATGCTCGTCCAGGGATGTTCAAACACTGTTCAGCGTAGGGTTACTTAGCACAGCCTTTGTAGTGTTGGCTGTACACTTCCACCTACCATAAAGTATTCCACGGTGTTGTGAGGAGGTCTTGTTGATTGTTAGCTGGATTTCCATTTCGAATCTGCAGGATATGTGGCACACCACGGATGTCATTGTAGCTCTTGGCGAGTTTCTCTTTCGACAGGCTGCTGTCATAGGAATGGCATTCTTATCTTTAAAAAAAAAATAATAAAGAAAATAATATAAATAAAAAAATAAATAAATAAATAATAATAATATCTTAATTCAATGCCACCGGAGAAATGCTGCGTTCACTTTAAAATAGTTTTCTTAAGTGAGATTTGTGCATTATGGAATTCTTTGGAAGTCTCTAAGCTGAGTAAAATATGCCAGATGTGATTGTGACATCTGCATGTTTGATTTTCAGTGTCATGGGAAGTAACTATTTTGCCATCTAATAAAGAAAATTTAATATTCACAAGATAAACCGCGGATAAGAAATGGATGATGATGGATATTAAAAGGATAAAAACGTTGTGTTCGTTTCACCTCTTTCATACTTTCTTTCACTAATATATATGCTTGCTTTGTTCTTTCTTTCTTTCTTTCTCATTATTTCATTATCATTATTATTGTTATTATTATTTTAGTTATTGATCTATTCTTTAACCCTGTCCTGTTCTACGGACACTCGCGTACCATTCATCACATTCTCAATCTTGCCTGGGGCTTACGGGTCATATTGGTATGTTTTCAGAGGCTGACAATAAATAGCTTGAGGCTGACAACATGAAACCAGAAGATGGGACGAACAAGCATATTGACAGAAGAGATTCGGTCACAACTCTAACGCAAACAATAAATCACTCTTTATATCTATTTGGTTTTATATTATTGAATAACGACAGCTGGGGAAAATAATCTAAAAGACTCGGAACAAGGTAAGCACTTGCTGACAGAAGCAAGAACGAGCTGGTTCTGTCGGCGGCCCCTTCCGTGCGTCCCTTTAGCAGGGGCGGTGACTATAAACTCTAACAGAATTTCGTATACCATAAAGTATAACCGTCGATCCCCTCCTCTAGTCAATCTATAAATAATAAATATAAACATAAATCTATAAATAAGTCTAGTTTTACTCACAAGAGACATTATTTTATTGTTAAATTTTTAAACGTTTTAATTATTTGAACTTTTCGATCCCACAAGGCATTCACCGCTAATGAGCTTAGCCTCGAGTTCAGATATTGAGGTGCGGGTAATTTTAAATCATCATTCACTCAATCATAAAATGGATATAATAAAAATATGAAAATAATAGAAGACAATTACGTGCATATTATTATTTTATACTTGTGATATCTGAAGAGATTTTTTTTTTTTTTTTTTTTGCTTTCAAGATGTTATTTTTATGGTTCTTTGTTAATCTTCAAGATTCTTTTCCATTTCAAGATTTATTTTTAACAATGTCATTATTATCATCGTTATAACTATTATTATTGTTCCATTTATTGTTATCTTTATCATTATAATAATTGCTATTATCGTTATCATATCATTTGGTAGCAGAACTAGTAGTAGTAGTATCATTATCATTATTATTATTATTATTATATTTTTATTTTATTACTATTATTATTATTTCTATTGTAAGCAGGAGCAGTAGTAATAGTACTGTTGGTATTAAAGTTATTGTTATACATTTCGTCATTATATATATATATATTATATTATATATTGTTTTTTTTACTTGCTGGGATTGTTTTTTATCATTGTTATCATTATCATTATTATTTTGTTATTGTTTTATTTTTATAATCATTATTATTACTATTATCATCATCATTAGTAGTAGCAGTAATAGTATAATTTATTATTATTATATGTGTGTGTGTGCGCGCGCGTGCGTATATACTTACTAAATTAGCAGGTAAAGAACCTGCACAAAATACGACGCCATTGCCAGTTATCTCTACACGTCCTCCATGTTCCTCTCCCTCCTTCACGAGAGCCGACAGCGGCGCCATCTCAGTCTATTGCTCTGAATTACCTTCGAAGCCAATTCGGTTCCGATCCCTTATTCGGCTCAGATCCCTTATTGGGACGATGCGTCATCCGCCGTCTGGCAGCAGCGAACCCAAGTTCTCTGTCGCTGTTTGTGTGCGTGTTTTACCCTCGTTTTACTCTTTCTTCGTTTCGTTTTATATATATATATATATATATATATATATATATATATATAGTATATATATATATATATATATATATATTATATATATATATATATATATATATATATATATATATATATATGCGTGTGTGTGTGTGTGTGTGTGTGTGTGTGTGTGTTGTGTGTGTGTGTGTGTGTATGTGTGTGTGTGTGTGTGTATGTATATTTATCTATACGTCTATACTCATATAAAAATAGCAGAAAAAAAAATTCCAGATTCTAGACTCAAAGAAAATTCAGGAATTATGAAGATGGCTGTTATACTTCAGACTGAAACTAGTACAATAAGAAAAAATAGATAAAATATTAGAAACAAACACACACACTCACAAGGTAAGGGTTGCATGTACTCGATCGCCAATGACAGGATGAACATTTCGAAGGCAAATAATGTACATAACATTTTTATAGTCCACCATTGCAACGGAGATGGAAAGTCAAAACATATTTATAATGTTCAGATATGAAAGGCACGAGTAAGATCAAATACTAATCTATATTGTATCATATTTGACTTAGAATGCAGCCACGAGTGTTCAGCAAGATTAACTATTTGTAGTAGTGATGACGAGGCAGAGCTCATATCATTGAAACGTACAAATACTGCAATGTTATAGGTACCAAGATATTACATGAATTATTTACATTGCAGTAGTTTGATACGTTCTACATATTCAAAGGCAGTTTCCATATATCCATAGAACAATTTAACAGTAATCCACCATACCGCTTGTTCAAATGGGTACTTAAAAACCACATTTCATACTGCGTGGATTATACAAACG